ATGCAGGTAATCACTGCACTGCTTTGGAGAAGATAAATGCGAGCAGAGGACATTGCTTGTGGTGCTCTTGCTGTACCTCCTTTTGAATCAGTTCTGCCTTCCTGGCAATTTCAGCAATATTGACCTTGACCCTGGGATTTTCTTGAACGTTATCCTGTGCTACCTAAGGATATACATGACCCATAGATATATGACAGTTTTTATAACCACCCAATAAAATGCTGCTGTCCCTAGGAGCAGGAAGAAGACAATAAAAATAGTACAAATGCTCCTGTGAACTTGTGGATAGACCATACTGCATTTCTTACGTTAACTGCCAACAGAAAACACCAACTTGGCAATGGAGATCTGGATTTATATCTGTGGGAAATACAGAAAGATCTATTTAGTCTTCCACGGTGGGTCCACTTCTCTGCTTGCTTTTGTAAAATTGCTTTGATACTACGGGTGGGAAAATGTTACAAACGTACTTTCTTTGAAACTAGCAAAATATTGAGTATTTATAGCATATTCTGACGAACTAAGTTGAAGGATGATGACAAATACATTCTCTCAAAGCCTGCATCTTCTGATGTATCTGTATAGTCTGTTTCAAAATGCTTATAATGGAGTCAGATTGATTATTATTATAACCTGTGATTTCAGGAGGATAATAGCGTTAACACTTTGTTTTTAGAAAAGTTTCAGTGATTAGGGACTCTAGACATACTAGGCCAAGTTTAAACACCCTTTAAAAACTTTTAAAGGTACTAATATGACCCATATGGATGATGATGGTACTGTGTCAAAAGATGCCTTTTAGTGCTGTTACGTGAACTTCATGCAAGTGATTAAAAAGAGCCTTTCTAGCCAGAATCCAGTAGGATAGGAATCTGCATTAGCAGTTTCACTGCAATTTTTTTTTAATCGTGCACCTAGCTCTCAGGTTTTTGTGTTACAAGGAAATACCTACTCCTTCTCCTACTGCAGGCCTGTATAACTAAGAGTCTCTGCAACACCATCCTTGCTAACTCAGATCTGGTTTGCCATCTATCATGGTCTAGTCATGCACGCAAAGATCTTTAGAAACATCCCTGTGAAACATGTAAAAAAAAAAAAAAATTGCTTTATTCAAACGACTGCAATCGAATGTTTCTGTAACGTTTGTTTCTTAGGCAGCAGTGGAGTGAGATGCAGGCTGTCCTGTGTGTCGAGGCAGTCCTGAGGAAGAAGGAAAGGTGTTACACTGGTGCTCATTTTGTGTTTTGTATCTGGACTGGTCTGTAGATGAAGGAAGAGAATCGAAGCATAACATTTGAGTGTCCTAGTCGTGTCCTAGTCCAACATAAAACGCGTCCCAGCAGGTTGGTAGTCCTAACCCTTCTGCGCCCCCAGCACGTGGAAACAGTGATACCAGCTCTCATGCGGATCTGGAGTTTGCTGCTGGTTTCAAATCTGCCTGGGAAGGAGGCAGTAGAATTGGAGGTGGCAGGGAACAGCTGTACATTAAACTTCCCAAACCCGAACACGCTTTTTATGCTTTTAAACTGCTGTGTAGCACTTACCCTGAAGTTAGTTACTGAATTGTTCTTGATTTATAAAAGCTTAAAATAGGATTAAGATGGCAGTTAAAAAAAAGGAAGTTAAGTGCTTGATCTTTTCCAGAGAGTTCAGAAACCCATGCTTTTGTCTGAGGCTGTAGTAAAAACATTTAGTGCTTAACTTGGAAGAGATCTCAGATACCAGTAGTAAGCTCCAGAGTATGGCTGAATGACTTAAGGAGACTTGCATGGAATAAATAAGATTTGTTTTCTGTGACTGTCATTAGGGTTGGCTGGAAAGGATTATCGTAGATGACTCAAAGCAGATGTTCTCCAGTAAACTTCCGAGTGAATTAGTCTGTGTGCCAGTCAATCTTCACAACATGGGAATAGTATGGGATAATTTGAAATGCCGTATAAATTACTCTTAGCTTCCTAAATGCGAGGTCCTGGGGTTGCTTTATAGAAGTTCTTGGTTTGGGGTGGTAGTAATGGGTTGCAGTGTGAGTAGACGAAGGCAAATAGAAACTAAAACGATGTGCAAGTTCCTGAGATGCTGACTTATGCAATTGTACTCTTAACCAGTGTCTAAAGAGAGCAAGGTTGCCAAACTCCCTTGTCCCACTCTGCTTTGTTACTTTGCCTATCTGCTGTGTAGCCAATAAGCATTTTTAATAGCAGCTTGCATTAATAAATTATCATTTCTGGTGCTGCTCAAAGTAGGATGATGTCCTGGTAGGTTTTGTAACTTCAGGGTCATGTCAGTTATGTGACAATATATTAATTTTATTAAGCCAGTAACAGACGGTTTAAGGTAAAGATACTCGTGTGCGATATTGATGTGCTGCTGTTCTTGAAATAGGTGTCTTCACGTTGAATAGATGATACTTGAGGTGTTTTGGGGAGGTCATCTTGTTTTCATCGTAGTGTTTAACTACACCACAAGAAATTTCATTTCTATGTTATTTTGAAATGAGTGAATATGATTTTTATTACAAGCTTCTCTTTATGGCAGTTTGGGTGAAGCATTCCAAGAAAACTACACAAAACTACTGGGGAAGGGTGGAGAAGTTGTTGAACCTGCCTGAACTTTTTTTTTTTTTTAAGAACCATGCTTCCCTGCAGGTCAAAAAGAAGGGAAAATGAGAGGAGCTTCTTGCAGTTGATCTCGAGTGTGAGCCTTCGTGCTCCTTGCAGCAATTGCTTCAGTGTGACAGCATGTTTTCTATTGGTTACAAATGTGTCAAGAATCTGAAATGGGTGTTTTGTGTTTTACCAGAAGTTGAGCGATCAGCACAGACTCGGCGGTGTAAGGCTGCTTTTGCTGTCTTAATTGGCACCATGTGTCCCTCAAAGGAGGGAGTGAAGTAACAGTCTATCAGTCTTGGTGTAGACCTGGTCTCCGGTAGGTGATTTAGCATTCGGGGGGCATCCATACATGTGCATTTGGGTATATTGAAACAAAGGCAAAGCTGTTACTGGAAATTCCCTGACGAATTTCATCTTTCTGTAGGTGTGTATATACATGAGCATATCACTTTCCCCATCTTGACCTTTTGATAGACTAATGATCCTTTTTTGCCATCAGTTTGTCATTTAGATAATGAATATTTGGGGATTACCAGTAACGGCAAAAATAAATGTACCAATTATTGGTGTGTGCAATACACGGAGCCTTTTTGCACCCTGGTAATTCATAGTCTAAAATATGTGTTGAGAAGGAGAGTATCATGTTTTGCAAGTCTAAAAATGTTTGTCTGGAAACTCCCAGAATTGAGCATTAGCTATTCTAAGTGCTCTGGTTCTAGAAACTGGAAAAAAACACTGGCGTTATGTATTATTTAAACTGTGGTGCTAAATCATCCTTCCTAGGCGCTGAGGGCAGTGCAAGGATCAAAACATGGAAGAAAGTCAGTGCACGGAAGCGAAATAGTAAGAACTAAAATATACCAAAATATGTGCTATTGCCGCTTTAAAGCTTAAGCGGAGTTTTACCAGACCTGACCGGATGGTAGGGCTTTAAATATCTGCAGAGGCATTGTAGTTCAGTGAAGAAAAGACCATGACAAATAAATTCCTCTTTGGTCTGAAGTTGGTTTTACAACCTGTAAGAGTTAGAATCATTCAAAGTCTATATAGACTTTAAAAATAAGTTTGATAGAAGTAAATCTAAAAATCAGGCAAAGTGTTTAATTGCTGACAGCTTCATCCAAGTATCTCCGAAACTAAGCAATCCTGCTGTGATGGAAAAAACATTGTCTGTGCACAAGATTTTCTGAAAGGAAGAGACTTCAGCTTCTGATTCTCCTGTTGTATCTTAATAGAAGGGTAGAATTGGCTTGAAAAAGCTAATTCTTACAAACTTGCAGTCTTTTTAAAAGGAAGAATCTTGCAGCGGAGTGTGTGGCTGGGAGGGTAAGACTACCTGCTTATGTTTCTGGTAAGACTTTAGGATAACGTGGGATCCCTGCAGAGATTCTTGCTGTGAGATTTTTCTCGGATGCAGTTCACGTCCAGTTGAGTCACAAATTAAATTAAGCAATAAATGAGACTGTGATTCAAGCTTTCCTTTGCTTATCTCTTAAATCTGTCTGCAAAGGTGAATTAGAACTTCCAGGTTTTGGTGCTTTTAACATCAGACAATGGAAATACAGATCTCTCTGTAGTCTGAGGTTTCTCATAGAAATTATTAAAATCACACTTGTGCTTAACACCTGCAGATTGTGGCAGCTGCTTTTGTGTGGAGCTGACCCGTGCACACAGAAATGTTGCAGTGAAGCCCGTCAGAAAATCTGATACACGCTTTGTTAATGTAACGTGAATTTCTGCAGTTACTCCTCACCATCTTACATACCAGGAAATACAATTCTAGAATGATGGTGGCGTTTTTAAGGTGGCTGTTGAGGAGCCGTGGCTGTATCCCACGCCTGGTCCGTCTGGTGCTGGGCGATGGTCTGAGGACACCTACTGGGCACAGCGTCTGCTTCATCTCTGCTTTCAGACTTGGAGGAGTTTGTACCTGGGTTTTTAGACTCTTGGTGTGTAGCTACAGGAGGCATCAATATTTTGAACAAAATTGTAGAACGGTGACTTGTGTAAACCTAAGGCAGTGCCTACAGGAATAAATGCAAGATTTCTGATTTGACTCGTTGCTCTCCTTCTTCCACTTGGCACTTACGTTTCCAGTTAGGCTGTAGGACAATTAACTGATACCTTGGTTAGGGGTCTCAGAACTTTGCTAGTAAGCCACACTGGGTTTATTGCTAATGTTTCCTTTAGTTTTACATAAAAGTATGTTTATTACAGCTCCTGCAGTTTCCAACTAGGTCAGTAAAGTGTCCTTGTCCCTATTCTTTGAACAACCAGCTCCCTAAAGCCAGACAGTGTGATAGTAATTTTGTGATTAATGCTTCCAGCAATTATAAAGTGGAAAGTCTTAAATTACATTTGATAACTAAGACTTGTACGTGAAACATGAAGTGACTTTGTCTTCCTTGTTGCAGATCCATAACATGGTGGCAGTGCTGGAAGTGATCTCCAGCCTGGAGAAATATCCCATTACCAAAGAGGCACTTGAGGTATGTCACCCTCTAAACATTACTTGATTTTGGTGTGTATAAAAGGACTTTCTCTGCCTATCTGATTTCCATAAGAGCTTTTCTTGAAACAATAGATTGATTGCAAAGGATTCACAATTAAGATATTCTTTTGTCCCTCTCATGCTGCTTCTGACATCTCGATGCATACACAGTGATTCTTTCTGGATTCAGATCAGTATTCTGTGCAGCACAGTTCCTGTTTGTGTAGGGCACTAAATTAATCATTACTTGCTACTGATTAATTCTGTTGCATTCAGCAACATCACTCTGCTTGCTGGAGTACTGGTCACCTTTTTAGATGTTTGGTGACCAAGCACCAAAGAATCTGAAATAGGAATATAGTTACTCTGTGTCTATAAAATTAATCTTAAATTCAGTTAAGCGTGTTTCAATGCCTGATCTATTTGGTGAGATCAGGTGTACTAAAAGCTGAAGTATCAGGTGGGATAGCAGCTGCAGCCTCACTGGCCACACTTAGAAACAGAGCCCAAGAAAGTTTTTGTGGCTAAATTATAAAACTTTTTCAATCTTTATATTGAAATTATTGGTATTACTTGCTTTTGACTATTGCTTAACTATAACTCCTGCTGTATTTCAACATATGTATCACAACATGTTGCATATTTCTCTCACAGTCCAGTCTATGTTTTCCTTTGAAGTGCTTTTCTTAAGTAATCTGACTTGTGGAACAATTCTTTGTTTTCAAATGTGCTTTGGGAACAATCAAACACTTCACTTCCTTCCGCTTATGAAACCGCTTTGGGACACCCTAGGAATGCTTGTTTAAATTGATCTTTAATACCTTTTCAAGACACTGGGGAATGAAGGGAGAGGAGAGATGGAGGCAGAAGGTAGGACATAAGTCGCACCCTGGCTAGTCAGGTTTGTGAAATGGAGATTTTTATTGTCAACGTATTACCGTAATAGGCAAAGATTCTGGAATTTTTTTCTCTTGCCTCTTTCTGCAGATCTTAACTTCCATTGTGATAAACATGCACCTCTTCTGCCTTGGGTGCTGCATTTCCCCTCGAATCTGAGCTTGCACCTTTATTCTCAAGATTCTTGCTGATTAAAGAATTATTCTCGGATGTTTTTCACAGCTAATGGCTCTGGTGCTTTAGACAGGGAATAAAGACAGGGTGACTTGAAACCTACAGTAGGTGTCATGTTGCATGGCAGAGCACTGGACCAACTGGACTAATCCTTTCCAAAGACATTAATTCAACACTTAAATCTTTAGTGGTTTTTTAACTAGGTATTTCTTAGGGTAAGCATTACAAAGCAGAAATTTACCTTAAGAATTTTGTTTAGAATGATACCTGTTTGTAAAACAACTTTTCTTTCTTTATAGGAAACGAGACTTGGGAGGCTTATCAATGAGGTGAGGAAGAAGACATCCAATGAGGAACTTGCCAAACGTGCCAAGAAATTGTTGCGGAATTGGCAAAAGTTGATAGAACCTGTAACCCAGAATGAAGCAGTGCCAAGAGGGTTGCCGAATCCACCTGGATCAGCAAATGGTGGTGCTCACAACTGCAAACCAGATGCGCAACTTCCTGCTGTGGCTGGATCAAAGCCAATCAGTGAATTGAAAAGCAGGAACGATATACAGAAGCTAAATTCTCCAAAAACAGAGAAATTGGGAAATCGGAAAAGGAAAGGTGAACACAGGGATGGGCATCAGGGCCCTCCTCCCCCAAAAGTCTCCAAAGCTAGTCATGAAGTATTACAAAACTCTTCACCCCCTCCAACAAATGGCATTGGAGGTAGTCCTGAAAATTTTCCTAGTCCTGTAGATGTAAATCTACATGCAGGGCCTGAAAGCAGCAGGACAGAACTCAGTGAAAATGATAAACACAATAAGATCCCAGTAAATGCTGTAAAACCTCACACCAGTTCTCCAGGACTTGTAAAACCTTCAAGCACTTCCTCGTTATTAAAGACTGCAGTGCTTCAGCAGCATGATAAATCGGAAGAAACCACAGGACCGCACCAACCTAAGAGTCCTCGCTGTTCCTCGTTTAGCCCTAGAAATGTTAGGCATGATACTTTTGCTCGGCAGCATACTACGTACTCACCAAAGGATTCAATGCCTAGTCCATCTCAAAGGTCTCAGTTCTTAGATACTGCACAGGTGCCATCACCACCACCATCTTTGATGCAACCATCAACACCTCCAATGCCAGCAAAAAGACTGGAGTTCTCTCAGCAATCAGTAACTGAGGTATCTCAGCACTGGCAGGAGCAGCAGGTACCTTCTGAAAGCCAGCACAGGCACACAGCAGGGACACTTCAACAGCACACATCTCCCAGCTGCAAAACCAGCTCTCACCCTGGGGAATCTCTCACGCCACACATGGGCTTTTCACAGGACACTTCAAAAATGGACAGTGATGATGCTGCTTCAGGTTCCGATAGTAAAAGGAAGAAAAGGTACCGACCCAGAGACTATACAGTCAACTTGGATGGGCACGTGACAGAAGGGGGTGTGAAACCTGTGAGATTAAAAGAGAGAAAACTCACTTTTGATCCCATGACAGGACAGATAAAACCTTTAACACAGAAAGATCCTTTGCAGGTAGAAATCCCTGCACTTACTGAACAGCACAGGACAGAAACAGAAAAGCAGGAGCAAAAACCCAACCTGCAAAGCCCTTTTGAACAAACGAACTGGAAAGAATTGTCCAGAAATGAAATCATTCAGTCATATTTAAACAGACAGAGTAGCTTGCTGTCTTCATCAGGAGTACAGACTCCAGGAGCTCACTACTTCATGTCTGAATATTTAAAGCAGGAGGAAAGCACTAGAAAAGAGGCTAGAAAGACTCATGTTCTAGCTCCTAACAGCAAACCTACAGACTTGCCTGGGGTCACAAGAGAGGTCACAAGCGATGACCTCAACAGAATACGTGAACATAACTGGCCAGGCGTGAACGGTTGTTATGACACACAGGGTAACTGGTATGATTGGACACAGTGCATATCTTTAGATCCACATGGGGATGATGGTAGATTGAACATCCTGCCTTACGTCTGCCTAGACTGAGCACAGTTTTGCTAAAAATGCTTTTACATCTGCAGTTAGCAAAAATGGCAGACACTATGCCACTTAAAGATGGAGAAAGCCTCCTGTCCTGGACAAACAGGCCCAACGAGCAGAGGGTGTGAGGGAGCTGGTTCTTTACAGCTCTTTCCTTTAAATTCTCCTTTTGTGAAATGCTGCTACCAGTTTACTAACAATTGCAAAGGAAGGCATACGAAGGTTGATAAATCGAGTTCAAAACTCTATAGCGAGCCAGCTATAAAAAAGTGTTAGTCCCCAAGAAGTGAAGAGGATTTCCAGCACTTTCTGAATGCCGGAATCTTATTACAGGCAGGTACAGAGAAAATTGTGGAAGTTACCTTAACAAAATATGCATCTATTTATTTGACTTGATTTGGGTTTTTATTTGGCAGTGAGATATTCGAGAGACAATGTGCAAAAACTGTAGTTTTATTTGTATCACATCTCTGAACATGATTGCGTTTTTTAAAGTCATGTGGTACGGAGATTGGGTTTTAAACAGCAGGTGTTGCACTGCAGGCTGGGAGACCAGCTTCAGCTCAACATTCCATAGGCATCCACATATTTTAGTCTGGTTTCAGTTTAAATCCAGTCTCTGAGAAATGCTGCAAAAACTAGATGTTTAACAATATTTTTGATCCCACCACCACCAGCCAAATATTTTTCCTCCTTTTCCCTTCCTGCAAACTTCTAGGAAAAAAAAAAAAAAAGAATCATCACCTTTTCTAGAATCTAAATGTAATGAGGGTGCTACAAGTTTGTAACTGTACTGTGAGAGGGAAAAAGGAAGCCTGTTTGTATGCTGGAAATATACTTGTTACCATTCCTTTAGATATTGTTTGCCTTATGGATATCCATCATAAACGCAATTTGCAAAAACAAAGAGCCTTAGTGAATGTACAGTAACTAGACTTCTGTGTTCTTGGGATGCAGAAGGGAGCAACTTTGCTATTTGGTCCTTTAAGTGGACACATTGTGATATAAATGTGGAAATAAAAAAAATTTGCACAAAACAGTTTGTGAATTATTTATACTTAACTCATTTTTTTTAAAAAGTTTGCTCAATTCAGACCAGCTAAGTGATCATCGACACCGAGAATCCGTCGGAGCAGTGTGGTGAAGCTGAATCCCATCCGACACTGTCGAAAGCAGCTGGCTGTTAGGGATATACAAGATGTCTTCCAAGTACGTTGGTGGTATTCAGTCGCACAGGTTGGATGATTTTTTTAACTCTGGTTGCATCCAGGGTCTGGAGACTGATAACCCAATTGCTGTTAATGTACCTCAACGTCTAAAAAGATCACAGTTCATCTTTTTTTCTCAGTAACTTTGTAATATATTATTCCTAATTGTTAAAATGCTTTCTAAAGCAGCCTCGTTCAGTATAGAAAGCTAAGAATTTCTATTAACTGTAATTGCTTTAACATTTGGGACTAGTTGTTTCTGCAGTCCCCAGTGCTGGGCTTCTGCCCCGGGGAAAAGGGGAGGGGACACTATACCAAAAAATATTTCTAGGTTTAGTGATGTTAACTCTGTTAACCCGTTTGTGCTGGATCTCGCTTCTATGGAGAAGAGCCTTGGCAAGCGTTCTCCTGCCTTTGAGAGCAGCGTCAAGCTCTTACATGATTTTAAAAGGGTGTTCCTCGCCACGTATACATTAAGTTGGTTCATTCCCTGGAATACAACTGATAAGGTTTGGTTTATTTTTAAGTCATTCTTGTTCAAACCTACTGGTTTTGTGATCTGACTGGTATTGAAATGTGTGGGTGTCTCGGAAATCTTACCTGATGTCTGTTTGCTTCCATTTCTGAAATGTGAGGTCTGAGAGTGAAACCAGAGAGTGTTTACCAAAAATGTTTCCAAGTATATTTTCAGTTTACTTCCATTTTGTCCTCCTGCAGTTGATGAGGTCAAGCAGTGTGTTGTAGAGTTGGGGAAAGCTACTATCTTGCAGTTCAGAAAGGTAGATTTGATGGTAGAGGGCTAAAAAGCTGGTCATTTTGGAAGATTCTTGGGTTTTATGTAAAAAATACTGTGCATCTTCTCTCCCCCCCCCCCTTCTCCCTCTTTTCCTGAATGGTCTTATTTAGGAACAGAGTCCGTGCTCTTTTGAGGCCTTTGAATGTAGGGCAAATTTCAGGAAATGATGAACTACACTTTATAAAACCCATCTTTGTCTCCACTGCTTACATTTCTGATGCAATCGACGGCCCTTGTGGACCACACTCGGTGGGGTGATGCCCCGAGTTCATCACTGCTTCCAAATTACACCCAGCTCTCGGCAGCAAACTGACGGTGCTGATGCTCGCTCTGCTTGAGGGAGTGTCAGGTACTGGAGCCAGCCCTTTTCCTAGTGCTACCAAATCGCTAGAGAAATTCACTCACAATGCAAGCTTTAAATCTTGTTCCATACCGAGTTTGTTTCTGCTGTAAGGGTCAACTCACTTGGATGTCATCCAGGGTGAGACGAGGCTTGACAATCTTTATTTCAGCATGCGAGTATAACCAGTTCTGTGAGCTCCAAGAAATGTGAATAAGTTTACAAGGTGATTTTTTTTTTTGTCAATTTTGTAAACAAGTTCAAATGAAGTTTACCGTGTGCGTATCTGCTGTGTACTCTCATTTTTGCATGAATTCAGTTTCTCTACTACTGGTTTCTCCTAACTGCCTTACAAAATTTATTCTTCTAATCCTAAAATCTTAAATTAATATACTGCCATCTCTTTCTTGTCAATGGATGACATGAAATGGCTCATCTGCAAATCTTTTGGGAATCGCCATTACGTAAAGTGCATGTTTTTATAGGTACACTAATGATGTAGAAATGTCTTTTTGACAGACTGCATGGATGAAGTAGGCTCTAGAACCCCCTCCTGCTTGACAGGTACTCACCCATCTTTTAATATAGCCAGCATCATGTATTCCTCGAGTTAGTTTTAAAGGTCAGCAACAATTGTCTCGCTGCCTTTGAGTACGTGACCTTTGCTCAGTCTTTTTTTTTTCCGCAGCCCCCGCCGCTCTGCTTTCCCGAGGCAGTCTGCGGTGGCTGCGCTGCCCCTAAGGCCCGCCTTCCCCCTAGGAGCACGTTCGTGCTGTAAAACCCGATCAGAAAAGCGGTTTTTGTGCATTTCCTGTACGCCACGTGCTCTCCGGGGTTATTTTAACCTCGGAGCCTCGGCTAAAGCACCCTAAGCCAGCAGTGCTGAGGCGGGCTCCTGTCTCGGGAAGGAGCAGGCGTGAGACCAGGCTCTGCGCTTTAGTCTAGACTTCT